TTCTTCTTCCTCCTCCTCCTTTTTCTTCTTCCTCCTCCTCCTTTTTCCTCTTCCTCCTCCTCCTTTTTCCTCTTCCTCTTCTACTGTCTCCGCCTCCTCTTAGAGGGACATGTGGTTACTCCAGCATTGGCAGCATTTCTGTAACTCGCATGTTACCTCACAGGAAATTGGACCACAAAGGTAGAACCCATTCCTACATGGTTGCCTCTGGTGTCACTCGAACATTTTACCTTGGACCACACTTTGTTGACATCTACATGCTGAAATTATTGATGACATCATCTGAAAATACATAATTTCCACATGTCTTCTGCTGATACCCCGTATTTGATCACATTTGTTCCTTTTCTCAACAATATGCTGAAGCTGAACCAGGCTGTTTGCAACCTCAAGGTCATACTTGTCATTGAGATAAGCTGTAAACTACATATCTAGACAATCACTAAAAGCACCTATTTCCAATTCTATAACTTTGTCCATTTCTACTCCTGCCTCAGCTTTTATGCCGAAACCTTCATTGATGCCTTTGTTATATCGAGAATTGACTATTCTTATGAAATTTAGCCAGACTTTCCCCATATGATACCCCATGTAAAGTTGAGTGGCAAACTGTGCTGATCATACCCTAACTCTCTCCAAATTCATCTATTACCCTTGCGCTCACTGCCGTGTATTAGTTCCTGGTTAAATAACGCCTTAATTTTAATATAAACCAAAATAACTGCGGAAGCTGTAAATCCGACACAAAAATAAATTGGTGGAAAAGATCATAGACTCCCTACAGTGTGGAAACAGGCCCTTCGCCCCAACAAGTCCACACTGACCCATCCTCCTATAACCCGCCCGTCCCTGAACACAATGGGCAAGTTTAGCATGGCCAATCCACCTATCTTGCACATCTTTGGACTGTGGCAGGAAACTGGAGCATTTGGAGAAAACCCACGCAGACACGGGGAGAATGTGCAAACTTCACACAGACAGTCACCCGAGGTTGGAATTGAACCTGGGTCCCTGGAGCTGTGAGGCAGCAGTGCTGCCCTTTAGCTGTGACTTTTGAACGTGCTGATTTTAATTAGTCAGTTATTAGTTGTTGTGCCTTCAGTTGCCTTGGCCATAATCTCTTTAATTCCCTGTCTATCATTCTTACCTTTTATTTCATGAGCCTCCTTCAAACCTTTTTTTTATAGTTTGTTATAAAGCCTTTGTACATTATATTAGGGTACTTTATTAAGCCAAAGATACTGATAAATGCATGTTGTTATATTTTATGGTGTACCATTTTGGTAGAAGGATATCTGTTTGTTCTTAAGTTCTATCTGATCCCATGACAATATTTACTCAGATGCATGTGTTGCTTTGATGCTTTGTATAGAAATGCTAAATAATTTCAGGTTATAATTCCAAAATAAAGGATTTGTGCTTTCAGTCTGTTAACAAGTTCATAAATAGTGATTAAATGACATTTTCATTCACAATCCATCTTCCTACACCTTTCTGGTCTGTTGGGTTTGTGTTTTAATGCTTAACACTGTTCTAAGACCTGCAGCTTTGTGTATATGGAAGAGTATAAACTTTACATACTTTACAAGCTTGTTAGTTATGTTTCAATATCTGTAAAAGTTTGTTCAAATCTTGTTTAAGGTCTGTCACAGAGGACAAATTAACATGAGTAGCATTAAGTGCAGTTTAACCCAGGAGTCATTGCAGCAAGCAAAGGCATGACTCACCAATGGCAACTCCAATAATCTGTGTGAATATTTTTAACAAAATTAAACTTGTTCAGGTCTGCATTGTTTAATTTGTTGCTTTATAAGAGGTGAACTGCTGATAGAAACTGGTACTGTTGAAATTTTTTCAAGTTCAGGTTGCAAAGGATTATGCTCAAGCTGGCCAACATTTCTCCAATGAATCATTGGAGAAAAAAACATGGTTGAACTTTCAGTGAGGCAGCTTGTAGAATATAAAGGGAGCTTGGTGGGGATATAGATATTTATTCAGCCATTTTCCTTTAGTAAGATATGACAAAACTTTTACTTGTATGTAGACTTCTGAACATACAAAATCGGAGCAGAATTAGACTATTTTGACTCCTCGGGCCTTGTGGCTGATCTGTTTGTGTTTGGAATTCACATTCCCATATACCCGCAATAACCTTAAATTCATGCTAGGCAAGGAAATCAATCTACTTATGCTGTTAAAGCATTATGAATCCCTGTCTTCTGAGACAGTGGCACACAGTCGCACAATCCTCGGTGGGGAAAAAAATTCTCCTTGTCCCTGTCTTACAAGGTTGATCCTTGATTCTAACACAGTGCCCTAATTCTGGACTGACTCAGAAGTGAAAATATATACTTTGCATCTCCATTTTGTCAAAACCATTTAGGATCTTATACCACTTGAAAATGGGTAGAATGTAGCTTAGAGTACAGGACTAGTATTTGTGGCGAGACCTGTGGTTTTTGTTTGGTGCCATGAAGTAGCCATTTTAAAAAACCCACCGGTCACAATTTATGGATTTGATACTGATAATATTGAAGCAGTGCAGATTCTTCCTAAATGTGTTTGTCAGATAATAAATTATTTTGAACTGCCTTGACTCATTTAATCAAAAATGGCAACTATTTTGCACACACGGCAACACTCCACTAACATAAGTTGAATGATCAGCTGGC